TCTCACGAGCCTTCCCTCAACCCGTCAACCCACCTTCCGCGAAGTTTACTCTGGGGATTAAGGCCGATAATCATCGGATTAGCAGAGAACGGCGAGGATTAACGACGCCACGGAGGGGTAGGACGAACCCGTGGCCGGCTGGAGGGGAAGACAGACTGATTTTGGTCAATTAAAGATAAAACGGCGTCGTTTTAGAAGACTGGCCTTCGAATCACGGCTTTCTTCCGCCTGTCTATTTGATCCCCAAACTTGGCCCGCCTCACATTGAAGGCCCTGCAACATGAATCCTTGATTTTTATTTTTCTCAAGTTGGTATGAAACTATATTTAATTGAAGTTAATCTCAATTTTTCTTGATAAAAATTTTCATATTCATTCTCATGTCATATTAGAGCTCAAAAGTTTAGAAAATTTTCATTTAAAGTTGAATATCTATAGAAAATTAATATTTTTATGATAAATCAAGATTTTTAAAGAGTTTCATTTAGTTGAATAGAATCAAACTGTGATAAATTTTGAGTAAAAATAAAAATTAAGTGAAAATTTCGAGTTAGGACATGAGTAAAAGAGACCAAATGTAATACCTCACAGTTTCATTTCCTTTAGACTATATTCCTAATTGCATAACTTGGAAGCAGGGATACTTTTGTGAATGTGGGTTAATGGTAGGATTCCTTGTAGAGTTTTAACCTAAAAATTGGGAAAGTCAACAATAGTGTCTGGGAACTTATTTGGTATTTTAGAAGTTTTGAGATCAAAGTGTACGAATTAGCAAAGTTACCAACTAAGTGCCTTTGTTTTGAATTTAATTAGACCAATAGGGGAATTGGTTATTTTAGACTTAATATTGACTAATGGAAGATTAATGTAGTCTAATTTATAATATTTTATGATTTTATAGCTTCGTTATGACCTTATGTGTAAAGAAGTTAGAATCCTCAATGGTACAATGATTAATAATTTGAGCCCTTGATTAAAAATCCTAAAAAATTAATACTTTTATAAGGTGTAATGTGAAAAATTTTGTGAAAAGTAACTTCAAATGTAATTTAGTTTATTGTGGAGAGGAGAGAATATTTTTTTACCACACATAGGAAAGAGAGGAGAGAAAAATATTCATTTAAGAGAGAATATTTTTTACCACACATAGTAAAGAGAGTCAACAAGTTTCTTCTTCTTGATTTTATTTTGCCAAAACCACTACTAAGAAAGAGAATAAAGAATCAAAATTCTCTTTAGTTGGTACTAGAGAGATTTTAATCTTCTCTTAATTCTTAAGGTGTATTGGTTGATTATTGTTAGAGGAGTTTTATCATAGTACTCTAAATTTTGTGCAAAAGTTACTCATCAAAATTATGCATAAAGGAAGCACGTTTTTTTAAAGTATTGATTGCTTGCTAACAATATAATTAAGTTGGGTTAAATAAAACTAGAAGGAGTTTTTACACTCAATAAAAAAGTGTAAATCGATATACATTTAGTTGTTTGATGTCATATACATATTGTTGTGAGAGACCTAAGTACAAAAAGCTGAGAGACTAATTTTAGCTTGAATTGACAATACTTCTGTGCCTCAACCCTTTTGCTATTGGTAGTACCTTTTGGGACCGAGGAAAGGAAGTAGTTTTTACGATGATTATGAGGTATTTTGATTTAATATATTATATAATATATTTATTAAAAATTATTATTTTTTAATTTAAATTTAAAAATAAATAAATTTAAAAATATAATTATATACACTTAAAATATAAAAATTGATTGAATTAATTATATTTATATTATATTTTTAATTATTAAATTGAAAATACATAAAAAAATATGTTAAATCGATGATATACAAATTATTTTCTAAGTAGTTTACACATCGCCGTGCCCAAGTGAAATTAATCGATGAAAATATTTTTTTTATCAGCACAATCACCTGATTAAAGGTCATGTGCTTTATTCATATTGTGGTAAAAATTTATCAGCAATAAATCTTTTCAATATTATAATGTAAATTAAATTTAAAAACTAAAGAATATCAGTTTTAACTTTCAAAAATAATTAAAATTTCACTTATATCTAAAAATTAAAATTTTATTTTATTTGCACCGAACCCTTCTAGCCAAGTGACAAAAGCCACCATGTGCACTCCCCCCTCCCCAGGCTGGGTTCAAACCCAGCCCTTGTAAAATCTGTTCAAAAAAAAAATTATTTTATTTATAATTAGATTTATAAGAATTTTAGTTAGGTTAAATGAGAAAAATTATTTATTTCATTTCCGCTGCATCCTCTTAGAAACCTAACATGTAAAAATTTCGACCACATAGTAAAGTCTGCCATTTATGAGAGTTAAATCCAGGTTCTAGAGCCTTGGCCTATAGATTCTTAACCAATTAATATGAGTCGGCCTATTTTGTGTAGAGTATGTAAAAACCATTTTTAAAATCTTTACATAATGAATAGTATATTTTAATTAATGAAATTCACATTTTATGAAAAAATTGTAATCCTGACTCATAGAACTAACTCTTTTTCTTTCCCTTTCATTTTTTTTTTTCAAAAGGGTTTTTGTGAATCAAATGTCATGGTTTTACAATTTAATATAATATGAATGGTAAAATTATTTATTTATTTATGGTTAACATAGGCTTAATTTATAAACAAATCTTGCTTAGTAGTATATTAAAAAAATATTATATAGTTTAAATTGTATAAAATTACACAATACTAATTATTAGATAAACATATTATACTTTTGAGATTAAACATATTCATTTAATAGTTTATATTTTATAATTTTGTATAATTCAAAATGTAATACCTAATTTCCTTTATCTAATTAAAAATATTTTACAAGTTGAATTGTTTTAAATTAAAAAAATATTAACTTTTTTTATTTTAATTATATAATAAAATATAACTATCCCTTATTTCTTATTTCTTATTTCACTTTTTTCACGTACCACTTTTTTTTTTTTTTTTGGTTTCCCGTCCAGTATTCAAAGCTTTACCCTGATTAATTCGGATCCGACCTGCATCGCGCATCTGGAAATGGTGGGTGAGTCTCCCAACGAGAGCTGCTGCGTACACAAAGACTCAAACTCAAGACCTTATTTAAGCTGAAACAAGCCGCTTACTACTTGATCCAACCCATGTTGGTTTTACGTACCACTTTGATAGATACTTGAAACTGCTTTGGGCTTCCAATTAGTAGTGTCTTTAACGACAATAAAAAATATTTTATAGTGCTAACTGAATCGATTCCCAAAACGGTAATCGTTGGCTGATGGAATTAACTCAATTAAGGGCAAAACCTTTCATCTAGGGCTACTGCAGGAACGAAGGAGTAGAAAGTTAAAACACGAAAGGCTTCCAATTTGTCCGATCTCACCGTTTCCACGCACCCAACTGCCCCGGACCCACCATGCCGCCAAAAAAATCTCCCAGATTCACTGAACAACTTCCCTTCTTCCTCCACCGTTGCGGACTCTTCCACGCCGAGAATTTCTTTCCTCCTTCCCAACGCTCTTCTGTTCGACGAAATCACTCGCTTCAGCCACCCAGCTTCAGCTTTTCCATTACAACACCAATCGACTATGAAATCCCTCTCACCGGTCTCGCCTTCCATGGTTCTTCCTCCAAATCACGCTCTCCGACCATGGCGCCCTCACGTCGTTCTGTCTTCTTTTACCTCAACTAATCGTCTTCCTCGACTATCGTGTGTCATCGGCTTCTCTTATTCTCTGGGGAGATGGAGACGAGCCGTTGTTGGTTGTAAATGCAAATTAAACGGCGGAGTCGGAGATGCAGAGGAAGATGATGAGGGAAAAGAGGAAGTTGAAAGGGCACTTCACTTGGACGGTACCATTCCTAGTTCTTCCGGCGAGTTCGTCAGGCAGATCTCTTCTCGTGCTTATGATATGCGGAGGCATTTGAAGCAAACATTTGATAGTAGCAGTTATGATGGTAAAATTGAAAATTGAAAACTATATTTCTATTTGTTTATATCAGTTGCTACTTTATGAGTCGGTGATTCTTAGCTGCTTTGTGTTTTTTTGTCATCTTGAATTTTATCCTATGCTTATGCATGTTTGTGTGTTGTGCTCTGCTGACATTGAGAAGCCTGGAATGGTCATCCATTTTGATTGGTTTTCTTGATTCCTGGGTCAGTGGGCTCTTTTCCAACTTGTGATTGTGATTAAAGTTGAATCCTTGAGGTTGCAAAACGAAGTACTCTGAAATAGTACCAAATTCCCTGCATTTGTTTGGTTGCTTCTTCGCTAGCTCTTGATTTGTGATATGCATGACTCTCATAGACATTTTTGATATGTAATGTGATTGCAAGTGCTGCTATTGCTCCTATGGTATGATGTATAATATGACGTCTTCCTGTGTGGAACTGATCTAGTCCCATTTAAAATAGATATGTGGAAATAGCAGCCAATGAAATCAATTTTGAAGCAACTAACTTAAAGTTCAATTCAAGTGGATACATTCCCAGAAAAAAAAAGGGTGCAAATATTTGCCTAGGGTAAAGGTGGTTTGGTTGGAAGATTTAATTCCTCTCCAAGGTTATGGTTGATTTGGTAGATGACTTTGATATAAAGGTAGGAGCAGCATCGCTTATATGGCACTGGCCTTGGTGTGTTCTGTTTTATTGCACTAAATTTTGGAGTTTAGAATGTTCCATACCAAATGTTATTTCAGTAAATGATGTAAATGTGATTGGTGGAAATAGTTAAACAACCATTTTATTGGAGGTAGATTTAGTATTATACAATTTTACAGTTATAAAATATTTTTTTATAAAAACTTTGCTAATGGCTGCTGTTAGTTTAGTGTTCATCCAGTCAAGCCTTTAGCCAAATAATTTGGACTCAACCAGATAAGAATACTTATCTTGTTGACTTGTTTATATGAGTATTTTATTTTGCTACTACTACTGGCTCATGGTTGGTTGCCTCCACTCCTTGAATAGCTGAATGCTATATTTAGTTTAATAGTGGTCAAAAACCCGATAACTCTCCCTCCCTCCCTCCCTCCCTCCCTTCCTCCTTCTCTCTCTCTCCCCCCTCCCCTTACAGATCTGATGTTAGTTCCCATTTATTTTTATAATGGGCATACTGTAATTTTTTTTGGCCAAACATATAGTGCAATTTAATTGTACTTGTTTAGTGTTGGTTATGCTCAATATTCATTGCTTGAAAGATTTTGTGGACGTTGGAGAATGTATGTATTACTTCTTGAAGGTCCTTTGTTCTCTTGGTGTTGTTTTATCTTGTTTGTCTCTTTTTGAAAGCTGCACCACCTTTTGTCTTAATTGTGATTTGTATTGGAAGCAAATCTGTTGATTGTTGGGAACCTATGTATTTATCGTGATGGCTTTGCGTTTTGTTGGTTTGCATTCTTCACAATTTCTCTTCTCCTTATTGTTGTTCAGTATTGGAGGCAAATCCCTGGAGAGAAGAGTCAAAGCCTGTCTATATACTGACCCACAATGAAAACCAATTGTGTACAATGAAAACTCGAAGAAATCGCAGGTCTTTTCACTTACTTAGGTCTGTTATCTTTTTTGGTATATTTGTTATTCTTGCTCTATCTCACATTCTTTTCTTCTAATAGTGAAGTTGAAAGGGAGCTCGGATTATTATTTTCCAAAGGGGGAAAGCGGAGGTCTGGAATTGGAAACCATGCTACACAGTCAAGACCTAGGAGCAAGTTTCAGATGCTAGTGGAGGATGTTAGGGAGGGAGTGCTTGTAAGTTTCTACCTTCTAAATAATTTGTTTTCTGTCTTCTAAGTTTATCTTTTGGGTTATCATTAAATGGAATGTATTAGGCCTTAGGGTGGATGCTAGAGAAAATCACCTAGATTGTTTGCCCCTTTGGTGGGGGTGGGAAGGCACGAATTATTAGATACTATTTTAACCAAAGGCTTCTTTTATTCAAAGAAATGATCTTTAGCTGACAAAATAACCAATTTCCTCTGCCAATGTGTTCACAGTGCAAAATTTTCTTTTTCATTTTCCTTTTTAATGGAAAATGTAGAAATGGCATTGAGATCTCAATAACAACCATCAGTGCACAATTCATCACTAAGAAATAGTTGAGCAGTATCAATCAATAACTGACTGCTCTCTAAAAATAAGCTATTGCTGCCTGCTGGCACTCTGTTATGTGCAGACAGACTATGGTAACTAGACACCTATAAACCACAATCACACCCCTCCCCCTAACCCCAGTCACATTGCATAAATATTGATACCTAATTGACTATTTCATGCCTCTTTTCAATTTGATAATTGGATAATTTCCTTTTATCATCTTTTTGGGGTGCTTTTAACCAGTTATCTTTGATTTGTTTCTGTCTTACTCTATTTAGTTGAGATTTTTTTCCCTCCTGTTTCAGGTATTTGAGGATGAGAATGAAGCTGCTAGATATTGCGACTTACTCCAAGGTGGAGGCCAAGGTTGTGAAGGTGTTGCAGAGATTGAAGCCTCATCTGTAAGATCCTAATAAATCCTTGAGTCCGTTTGGGAGAGCATTTTTTGTGTTGTTTATAGGGGTGGTGTTATTGCCACAGCCACTACTGTTAATACCACAGCTTTTTTTAATTATTTGACTATTATACCCCTCATTTGAATCCAACTTGCAGCAGTCACCACCTTCTCCGCGTGGGTTAATGGTCAATTAATTAAAAAAGCTGTGGTGTTAACCTGTGAAGCTATGGCAATAACACCACCTTGTTTATAGTTGTTTTTTCTCTCTCAAGTTTAAAATTTTGATGGAGGAAACGGCTCCTTTTAATTTAAGAATTTACTTTTTAAGTTTTAAAAAAGTTACATCCGATGATTTTTTTAAAACTTCCTTTTATGAGCACTTTAAATGTCAATAGCAACTTTTCCCTTAAAAAATTTGTGAACTTAAAAGAGATAAAAAAAAATACTTATAACCAAAAAAAAAAAAAAGACAAACAAACAAACAAACTGTTTGTATGAGTTTTCTTTGCGTGTTGAAATGATTCAGTATTTCATAATGTTCCTAACATTCTTCGCAGGTATTTGATCTTTGCCATAAGATTAGGGCTCTTGCTGTTCTCTTCCGCAGGGGAAGAACACCGCCTCTGCCTCAAAGCCTTGAGCTGAACCTCAGGGCCCGCAAACGGTCCCTTGAAGACCAAGAGGACTTGATATGAAATTGTATATGCATGAGAACTTGTGCTATCAAATCTTATTAGTGCACTATACCATACATTTTAAATTCATTTCACTAAACCATTTAACTTGAAAGAAGTTGATTTATATGATTTGTTTGGCTTTGAAGATAGTGAGAAAGTATGCTTGTCAAAGAGCAACAATAACGAATGATGTCTCTGCCTTGTAGCAAGGCAAATGAAGGTTAGGCCAAACCTTTTGTTCAATTAGAATCTGGGAACCAGAATTCTTGACCTATCACGCCTCAAACCCGGGAGTAGAACAAATGGCATACATCTGTGAGTGGGCCCTATAGGTACACGAGGCTTAGAACTACCTAAATTATGAAACTGCAAATAAAATCAACATCCATCTAATTACTCAAATGTAAATCCAATTTTCAAGTTGTAACTTCTAAGTCTTCATTATATAAAATATTCTAAAATATGCTAAGTTATCATAAATTATGGGTTAAATTAAAATATGCCAATAATTGTAATATCTCAAATCTCACATCACATTAAAACTATGAGTGATTAGAATATAAGTGTATAGACCAAATACTACTAATAACTTGAACTTGATTTTTTAGGCTAGTGGCGAGTTTTAGTATGAGTCATTTTAGTTGGTATTAGAATAGTCACTATAATGTGGATCTGACATCACTTGAAATGGATCTTGTGCTTGTAGCTCAATAAGGCTTATTTTGATTATGATTCCTTTAGTTCAAGGAGATTGTAAGTGTAATTTATATATAAGTATGAAAATCAACCACTATTAACAACTTAAGTTTGAGTTTTAGAAAATTTGTAAATCTTAACTTGAAAAGTTGTTAAACTAGTGACAATCTTGAGTTTGAGTTGTTTCAATAGCTTATGTATGTAAGGAAGCTTTAACATCACAAATTGTACACCCTTCAATAAATGCTTAAGTCACACACACTGCATCAAGTATGACAAGTTTACGTTTCTTCATCTTTACAATGGTCTTGATACTCGTAATCATTTTGAAGAGACAAATGATACTAGCTAAATACCTACCACACATATAGTGACTCCTTACTAGTCCTCGGCTAAAGGAAAGCTCTTACTGAATATTTAGTAGAGTTATACTTATAGACTTGCGAAGCTGATAGACTTGCGAAGCTGGTAAGCTCTTCAATTCTAGTTATGACACAAACTTCGCCACCAAGTCTAAGATAAAGATGAGGCATGAGGAATAATGGGCCCATATCATGTTAGGTAATACAAGTGCTGAGCATTACCTGCACTAATTGTAGAATTTCATGGTACGTTGGTCTCAACTCTCTTTGTCTTCTACCCATGTGTTTTAACAGTATGAACTGTCATACTTACCACTTATATTGCTTTAACAGGTAAGGTACTTAAGATGTACGAAAATTAGTAGGTTTATCAATTATGAGACAAATTGGGAAAGAGACTATAAAAAGCCTCTTGCACACCATTTCAGGTAATCTCTTAGAGCCCATCTTCTCTCCTAGATCTTTCATTCCTTCTTCTACATCTTCATCAAACCTTATTGGACTTAAGCATTGAAGGCCATACGTTGGAGACACCTTCAGCGCCCGTCCTAACAAGTTCTCTCCCACACGTAG